AAAAAAAAAAAAGAATCTACATATTATTCTAATGCAAATTACATATAAGTATATGGGGTTTTCATTCTGGATGAGCAATCCATTCTCTTTTTTTAAAAAAGTATATCCCAACTATGTAAAACATGCTTAATTTACTCTTAAAAGATCACTTCTTATAAGCTATACACTGACTAGTATGAGAAAGGGCATTTTACAGATTTTAGAAACTTCTTTAGATGGGGTGACTGGGCAGCTCAGTTGGTTAAGCATCTGACTTTTAATTTTGGCTCAGGTCATGATCTCAGGGTTGTGAGATTGAGCCCAGCATCAGGCTCATGCACTGGCGTGGAGTCTGCTTAAGATTCTGTCTCCCCGCCCCCCCCACCCCTCCCACCCTGCTCTCTCTTTAAAAAAAAGAAAGAAAAAAAAAAACATTCATTTTCTTATCAAGTTACTTTAGAGTATTTGTTTTACTAAGCTTTAATTACAGCAGTTAAAAGTCTAAATCACATTTTTCCCATTATTTCTCATACAAAATCCCCATGCTCCTTAAGTTTTAACATTCTACCTGCAAGAATCTTACTGGACCTGAATAACCTCTGTATGACCTACAGGAACATAATTCAGTGAAGGCCATCTGAACAGAATAGATTGCCTGTTTTAAAAAGGTCTGCTTTCTGGACCATAACTAACAACTTCTTCCTCAGAAGTTACTCGCTTCAAAAGCACTGGAGCTTTTTTTTTTTTTTTTTTAAAGATTTTATTTATTTGTTGGAGAGCAAGATGCAGGCTCCCCACTGAGCAAGAAGCCTGTTTCGGAACTCGATCCCAGGACCCTGGGGATCATGCTCAGGTAGCCGCTTAACAGACTGAGCCACCCAGGCGTCCCAGCACAGGAGCTTTTAAACATGAACCTATCAATTAAGCTTTTTTTGCAGAGCATAAGTAAGTTAAAATATCAGTCTGAGTACTTGCGAACATCTCTATTTTTTCATATTCTGGCTACCCCGCTTTACCTGAATGACGAGCAAATTCATAGCTACCAAGAGCTGACTCCTTGGCCCTGGGAGATGTGATTGTTTTTAGTTCTTGACTTTGGTAGTACTCACTTATGAAAGAGGGAGCGGTGATTTTTCCCTCTCATTTGGATGGGGCGAATGGTAACAGAATCTGCGGTGTTGAAGAGTGGTCTAGAATGTCAGCATTGTATGCTGGGGTATGTCAGCTTATGCCTTAAGTGGCTCACCTCATGTTTTTACAGTTCAACCACAGTGATTTATTTAATAGAACTGGGGGCTAAGTAGTTTATTGTTTGATTTAACCCTCCCAATAAGCCTAGTAGATACAGAATGAGGAAACACTCTGAGAATTTAACTTGTTTCTAGTTTTAAGTAGTAGGAAGAGCAGAGGCTCAAGAGCTAAGTGTGTGTGACTCCATACCTCTTAGCTCTGTGCCATTTATAGGCAAGATCAGGGCAGGTTACTTCTCCTATTTTTTTTTTAATTATTAAAGATTTATTTATTTTAGAGAATGCATGAGCCTGTACAAGTGGGGGAGAGGGAGAGAGGGAATCCTCAAGCCGACTCCCTGCTGAGCGGGGAGCCCAATGGAGGGCTCCATCCCAGGACCCTGAGATCATGACCTGAGCTGAAGGCAGTCACTTAACTGACTGAGCCACCCAGGCACCCAGTACGTCATTTTTAATAGGGTGTTAGGAAGGAGCAAAAGGTACTGTATATTTTCATAATGAAGAAAAGTTTTACTGTATATTTTCATAATGAAGAAAAAAGTTTTTTCCCATTTTCTCAGGGATTAGGAAATTTCCTATGTACTGGTCAATTGACAAGTTACAATACTGTCATTTCACTTTTTAGATTAATAGGCACTTATTGAGGACCCTTTAGTAAATAGTTGAACATCTTGGGAAATTAGGGCCTCAGGTACATTGCAAGTTTATAAGCTGAGGTTTCTAAATAGAGGGTGTATCACTGGAATACCTTTTGCCCCAGCAGAAGGCATCATAATATACTTGCTTGCTAGGGTCTGTTATATCGGGTTTTGTATCATTTGCTCTTCCAGCACAAATTTTTGAGTGTTATTTGCCAGGCACTGTTCTAGGCAGACAAAAATTCCTTTCCCACGCATTTAACCCAGGGAAATATATTTATATGAATTATGAGAGTAATATCACTATAAATAAAATGATAATGTTGGTCATCTAGGAGTTTGGGAGAGCATATGCCTTTTTATAAAAAGATTAAAATTAAAATATCTGTAAACTTAGTAAACGGCATCAAAGCACTAGGGAGTTCTGTATAATAAAAAGGATATCCTGTGAAAGGTTGAATGTAGACAACATAATACACATTGAGAAGGAACTTATTTTTATTGTAACTAAGAAATGCTCGTTGTAGAAAAACCCTAAGGAAACTGTTCTTTCCAGTGCTGCATTTTGATTCACCTGTTCCCTTATTAGCGTGATGAAATGAGGGACCACGTGGAAGTGTGTCCTGAGGCTGGCATTATCATTCAGGAGCTTTCTCAGCGCATTGCGCTAACCGGAGGGGCTGCACTGATTGCCGATTATGGTCACGACGGAACGAAGACAGATACCTTCAGAGTATGTATGACTCAGTAACATGACTTACCATAAGTTCACTGGTATCATCTACTAAGTTGTTAGGTTTGAAGCTCATTGAAGATCTTTACCTTTGGTTTCTACGATGCCTGGCCTTGTAATTTTACATTATTCGTAAAGAGTATTAATTCATATTATTATAATTGCCCTTAACCATAGGATCTCACTGTCCAGACTGGCCTTGGAGCAGGGTCTGAATCGTCTACATTCTTCAGCTGCAGAACCTGGGTCTGCATAGATCCTACTTAGCATCCGAGTAATACATACGGGAAGATTTGTAGATTTGATCTAGCTACTATGATCAGACTTTCCCTATCATATTTTCAATCTTTTTTCCTTTCTAGAAGTATTCTTTAATTCTTCCTAAGCATCCTTTATGTTTTTTTAAAATTTTTTTTAAAGATTTTATTTGACAGAGAGAGATAGCGAGAGCAGGAACACAAGTAGGGGGAGTGGGAGAGGGAGAAGCAGGCTTCCCGCGGAGCAGGGAGCCCGATGCGAGGCTCGATCCCAGGACCCTGGGATCATGACCTGAGCCAAAGGCAGACACTTGACGACTGAGCCACCCAGGCACCCCACATCCTTTATGTTCTTTATCAATTGTGTTCAATGTACTTTAATTGAAATACATTTAACTGGATACTACTATTAGTCATTTTCTAGATCTGTGGTTCTCAATTTCTGATTTTATTGTAACTAAAGAAAAAAACCCTGGAGTTTTTTTTAAAAAGTCTGATTCCCTAGCCTTACCTCCAGCATTCTGATTCAGTAGGTCTGGGCAGAGCGCAGTAACATGGTCTCAGGTGATTCTGATGCATGTAGTTGATGGATACACCTTGTCAAACACCACCTAGAATCTGGTGAAAGTTTAGCTTGATTCTAGTAAGAAACAAGTTAACTTACGTGGAGAACTGATGGGATCTCCGATGAGATCTCTACTCCATCACCATGAGCAGTAATGAAATGTGAAAGGCAGCCATTTGCAGGCACTCCAGTGTCGCCCTTTATATTGGATTTTCCACGTAGCATCTCATTTGAGGAAAGGGTGCTACTATATAGTTTGTAAACCACTGCCTTAGGCTATGTTTTTCTTTCTAGGAGTTATGTAAAATGTACTAAAATGATAGCATTTCTTTAATCTTGATAATGATAACCACAAAGGGACAAAAACTCACCATTTTTAAAATTACAAATTATGTTCAAGGGGTTTTGTGGCCACAAGCTCCATGACGTCCTGACTGCCCCAGGAACAGCGGACCTCACAGCCGATGTGGACTTCAGTTATCTGCGCAGAATGGCAGAGGGAGAAGTAGCTTCTCTGGGGCCAATAAAACAACAGACATTTTTAAAAAATATGGGCATTGATGTCCGGCTGAAGGTAATGATTTATTTCATGATCATTAAATATTTTAATTTTGTAGTATTTCACAAAAATGTTTCAAATAATACATCCCCCCCCCCCCCGTGCTCTTCTCCGTCAGCAGGCCCTGGGTATTGTAGTCTTTCTGGTAGCATAGGGCCTGGTGCAGCCGTGCTGCCCGGGGTGGGGCCGCTGTGCACGCCCCTGCATCTCCACACAAGCCAGAACGAAGACTTTCAAATAGTGTTCATGTCCAGTAAGAAAACTTGACCATGGGGCGCCTGGGTGGTTCAGTTGGTTAAGCGACTGCCTTCAGCTCAGGTCATGATCCTGGAGTCCCGGGATCGAGTCCCGCGTCGGGCTCCCTGCTCAGCGAGGAGCCTGCTTCTCCCTCTGACCCTCCCCCCTCTCATGTACTCTCTCTCATTCTCGCTCTCTCAAATAAATAAATAAATCTTTAAAAAAAAAAAAAAGAAAAGAAAACTTGACCATGTTTATGGGGATGAGTTTTAGAAGTGTCCTGAAAACATCTTAACCCTTCAGTGTACATCAAACCACCTGGGAATGTTTGTTAAACATACAGATCCACAGGTTTGGGTCTTAACAACCTATGTTTTTAATAAGCACCCCATGATTCTGAGGCAGGTGATGAGAAATCCCATCTGAAGCCCTGCTTTGCTCAGTAGCCAATGGTCATTAGCATTGCTGCATGTAACTAGGAATCCTTCTGGTTATTTTTACTTTCCTTTTCAGGTTCTTTTAGACAAATCAGATGAGCCAGCCAGGCAGCAGTTACTTCAGGGATATGATATGTTGATGAATCCTAAGAAGATGGGAGAAAGATTTAACTTTTTTGCCTTGCTACCTCATCAGAGACTTCATGGTAGAAGCCATCCGATGAATGCATGTCAGTCAAAACCCTCTGTGTCACCTGTAGCTGGGTTTGGTGAACTTGCCTGGCGGTGATCTCAGTGTGGACGTTTTACCCCTAAGTCTGCCTAAGAAAGCAAAATAAAGGGAACACATTTCATATATCACAGGTAAAATAAGTATTACAATATTTTGTCTTTATAGCCAATAAAAATAGCCCATCTTACATACAGTACAACTAAATATTGATCTTTTAAGGTTGTGTCTGGCTTTTGGCACAATTGTGTGCTTTCAGCTTAATGAAACAAGTTACTGAGAAACTGAGTGTCCTTTAATAAGGCTAGTTGCTGTATTTTTATTTTAAAAAGTAAACATGAACACTGATTGGTTTAGCAAAAACCAGAAACCTAACTGGCCTTCCACAGGGAATGGATTAAATAGAACTATCCACATACTATTTTAAAAAAATGAGGTAGAGCAATATTTCTGACCCATCTCTAAGAATGTGGTAAGTGAAAAAAGTATAGTGGAGAGAATGTTTTATAGTTATGATTCCATTTTTCTTAATTAATATATTAGTGCAGACTGGTTGTTTTCTGTGATAGTTACTTGTTTACAAAAAGTTAAGGAAAGGATGCCCAGTAATCACTATTAAATATCCCAATGTGGAAGTGGGCTTAAAGGGTGGAAATCGTTCTCCTTTGTGGTAAATGTTTTACCCTTTGCTTCTGTGAATTTTATAATTAAAAAAAATTAGGGGTGCCCCAGTGGCTCAGTCTGAGGAGTGTCTGACTCTTGATTTCAACTCAGGTCATGGTCTTGGGGGTTGTGGGATCTTGAGTCCCACGTCAGGCTCCATACTCAGCATGGAGTTTGCTTGGGATTCTCCCTCTCCCTCTCTCAAAATAAATAAAATCTTAAAAAAAAATTTAAGTCCCAGTAAAACTAGTAAAAACCTAACGTGTACCTGAAATATGAGAGTAAACGTAGACTACGTAGCAGGAATATTTTCTGATTTGAGCTAATTCTCCCTCATTTTCAGATAAATGTCAAGTTTTCATGCTGTAAGTTCTCATTTTTTGGTTCACAGAACATTTATATTAATACCAGATACATACTTTCTGAGGAATTGTTATATTGGCAACAAAAATTTACAGTGAGATTAAAGGAAAAGAGTATTAGACGTATGTTTTGAACTTATAGCTTAACTATATTGGAAGTTCACTGGCAGAGTGATCAACTCTCTGTTTTCTATTGCTTGTTTGGCTTAACTCAGAACAGGACTAGCATTCTGTAAGTAAGTAGGAAGATAGAGGGCTTATTTTTCATATGCTGCCCTGCCTTGGGCCATTCGTAGTCACCCTTATTTTTTTCCATATTTTATTTTTCAAAGACTTGGAGAGTTTTTGGAAGGTGAAAATGCCCAACACTGGCCCCTCTCAGTTATTTAATAGTTTTTATAATTAACGGGAGGAATCAGGCAATGCCTTGTATCGTAAAACCTAGTTACTTTGAATGGCATTTGGCTTATTTAAGTCTTGTAGCAGTTACAATAGTTGAATAATTTATAGTTACAATTATTCTAAACTTTCATGCCAAGAAATGACCTCCAGATAATTACCTCAGATTTCATATAAAATTGAAATAATGAGTTGTTTTTTATTTTAGGTAGTTAAAAAAAAAAAATCAGTGTTTTAAATATAGCATTAGTTCCATTTACAAATACTGTTTCCAAAATAATTCTTTTACCAAGGCCTGGAAAAATAACACAACCAAATAAAATTTTCTTTGGATACCTCTATTAGAGATAGGCTCAGGTTTTCACATGGAAAAGTATGGTGATATGGAAATACATTTTATTATCAAGCTTTTTGAGGATATTTACAAAAAGTGGGATTAACAAAAAATATAAAAATGTACGGAACAGTGTCATTATAGACTACTTTGTACATTATCAAATGTTTCTAACAATTATTTCTTATACAAGACTTCAAGACCAAAAAAAAGGTTATGCAGGTTATACAGTATCTGGAGTAAATGAGTCAACTCCAAATTATCTGACAGTGCCTTTACAAATTTTTTTAGAAAACTTCTTAGGCATTCAACAACACAAACAAAAAGAGTGCAATTAATTTCATGGCTTGTAAAGTTTGATTATGTAAGTATAGCAAACATCATTCCAGTTAATTTTCACCTTATGCAGTAAAACCACAATAGGGTGCCTCAGGACTCAGAATTACTCCATTTTAGCACACTGGTATAAACAGACTTACTTTGGACAAATGTGGGGAAGTCATCCCTAAAAGGTTCTGCAAAATTTGATGAAATTTTTAAAATTCCCACAGGAGAATGACCTACTGAGAGACACTGTGAGTGTTTCCTGGCGATGTGTACGGGTAGGAAGTGCAGCACAGTGGTTGGGTGGGGGCAGGGTGTCACCGGGGTTCACCTCCACATACTGTGACCCTCTGCAGCTGGCTACTTAATATTCCTGATCTGTGAGATGGAGTCCATAATGAACTCACTCTGTGGCTGTTGTGAGGGTAAGTAAGTAAAAGAGCTCAGAACAGAGGAAACTGCATGATGGCTCCTTTCTCAACAGTACTTTTAGTCTTAAATAATGGAGTAGCTTCAGGGCTCTCTCAAGCCCTCTCTGGCTCCGACTGTTTGTATCCAGGGACATTCTTTTCTTTTGCTACCTCAGACTCAGTGGGGCAATGATAGTTCACACTTTAGGGAGTATGAGTATCTTCATACATAGCCCATCTTCACAACAGCATTGTGAGGAAGGTAGAGGCAAAAATTATGGTCTTCATTTCATAGACTGAGGATCTTGAGGCTCAGACAGATTGGAGCCAAGACTTAAGACTGGATTTTCTGACTCCAAATCTTTTGTTCTTTTTTTGGGGGAAAAAAAAGTTTACAGTGATTACTGTGGAATGAAGAAACCAAAAGCCACTAGTTTTTTTAAATAAGTGGGTGGTCCCAGAGCTTAAACTTTTTGGGGGGAGAAAACCATTAGTAACTTTTTAAAAGCTATGAAAAAGTCTAACCTCTTAAACATTATATCTGAGTAGAGAAACACTTCTTTAGCGGGCTGCTGGTGCTGAAATGTTAAAAAAAAAAAAAATTATAAGGGTAGGGCTATGGTATCAGCAGAGCAAATGAAAGAATAAAATAAATGTTTCATGCTCCACCCCACCCATCCCTAAACTGCTTAAAATAATTGATTTAAAAACATTCCAGATATCTGTAAAGCCTTCCACTAACCTAAGGGAAGAAAAAAAGGATACAGTCTTTGCTGTTCTTCTTTGTAGCATTAATTGATCCTGTACTGGCCTTACTTTTAATAATTTTCTTCCTCAAATTACTTAACTCTGTGTAATGAGAAGTTGTGTGATGCAAGTTCAGATCTGTACTCACTGAGTGCTGGAAACCAGCTGGGGCATTACGGTGGCACCGTGTGTACACGGCAGGGGAGCTGAGCGAGGGGCAGACAGACCAGCAGGCCCTCCTCCCGGTTCTGTGGCACCAATTGTCCCAAATTATCTTAGAGGCCGTTCCAACATACAAAGGGGGACTAACTTAATTTTTATGTTGTAGAGAGCATATTAAGAATGTAGCTCCAAAGGTTAGGGATCATGGTTTTGGACTCTTGACTGACCTAAAAAAAAAAAAAAAAAAAGGGTAAAACAGCCTAGCATCTAGGAAACATTTCTAGGCTCCTAGGAAAAACCCCTCGTGTGTCTGTGGTTAAACAAATGTTTAGAGTCCTCACAGGAAGCCTCATGCTGGTGGCCCCTCCTCAGTAATCTCTTAAATGCACACCTGGTTAGAGCTCTTATAGGATTTGATCAAGCTTTGCAATGGCTGCACTCTAAGCTTTCCTTTTTCTCCTTTTTAAAAAATAATGGAACAGGAAAGGGAAGATAAATTAAATGCCACTATAGTACTAAAGTGAAGGATTAGGAAAAAATACAAAAACCAGTCATTGCTATGCTATGAAAAGCTTCATCTTGGTTCCACTGTCTATTTTTATTACTCAGTTTCCCCTCTTGTACCTACTCATTATGAACTACAGTACTGATGTCACGGATTCCTTATCATATTCCCCATATCTTTGCACCCTTGCAGATGACAACCTACAAACAACAGTTGTGCAGCAAAATATCAGTCCATAAAATGAAATCCTTCCTTATTGAAGTTAGCTCATTGATAATTACGGATCTTCTTCCATATCATCTGGATTGGGAGCCATAATGAAGTGCTTTGGGTACACAAGATTGTGGGTGTATGCATGTATTTCCCAGCGGGCGTCATCACTTTCATGTGTAATGTAACGTTCACCGATGCGAGTTTCAAATTCTCTAAGGTCAAGCCAAGTCTGATAGTCCTAGGAAAAACATGAAGTGATTATAAAGTATAAAAGAAACAAACTACTGTGAACTTTTTTTTTCTTAGCACCCCAGTCACAAAATCGACAACCCAAACTCCTCTAAGTACTTGCTACACAGTCAGTTCCATTTGTAACATTTAAATTAGTGATGTTAAATACTTTTTCAAATTTAGAATCTCTAGTGAAGTAACTAGTTTCTACAACTAAAAAAAAATTACCTGAGGCTTCTGAGATAGCTAATAATAATCACTAAAACATTGTGTTCTATACTCTGACCTTATACCCACACCTTACTCCTCAAAATAGGGAAAAGTACTTAGAATCTACTACCAGGATAGTTTAATAATCATGGAGACTAACTATGATTGCATTTGTTTTGAAGTTAATGCTACCCCCTACTCCCTTTAAAATAGTTCTAAAGCTTCTCTTTACTCTGGAGTTTGGGGGTATCTTTTGACAAATCTACGCAATAGCTTTTGGGGGAATTCGGCCAAACATTTTAAATGGCATTTCTGATCTCATCAATGCAAATATGAATCTTTTAGTGGATGTTTTTGAAGTAAAATATATTTGACAAAATAAGATGCTTATCTTACAAAAAGGTCAAATGAAACATAAGGTCCTATAAAAAGGCTAAATCACTGCTTTCAGTTCACGGGAGTTTAACTGCCTATCAGTTCTGCACTTCAGTGGTTTACTGCAAAACCTCCAGAGATGCAGCCACAGGACAAACTAATCACTGTAGACACTTACAGTAGTCTAAGGGAGAATCTGTTGATCTTAGAGTAGTTTCATTAGCTAAGACAAATTACAACGAACTGCTCAAATGAGTATCACCAGAGAGAAAGGTTTTTTTTTTTTTTTTTTTACCTGCAGCCAGGGATGACTGAGAGATTTGTCCACACTGTAACGTTTTCTCATCTTCACTTGAAGTAGGTTGTTTATCAAATCAATTGCTAAGAGAAAAGACAAAATCAGACACGTGGATTTGGGCATATGGGGCAAACCAAACCTGTGAGTCTGCTAAGAAGGCAGTTTAGTCCACAGAAATACAGGGTTGAGGGTTTTCGCTTCTCAAGGCCACGGTCTTACAGCTAACCTGTTAGTGATCCATAAATGTTTATTGAACTTAGAGTACCTATCTGAGGGGGTGTGCCTGTTTGGTTAAGGAGGCAGTGCAGAGTACACGTTCAGTGTGGGAGAGGGTCAGTTAGTACCCGCAGCCGTTTCTCCTCATCTGTAAATGAGGTGGTTGCAAAGATGAAAAAATACATGTAAAGCATGCTTAGCATGTAAGTGCTTAGTATTAGCTATTATTATTTCAAAATGAGTTAAAAAAAATTGATTACAGACAGACTTGCTGTGTCCCTCCAATGACACCATTCCCTAGTCCCTGGCTTGGTCTGCGAAGGAGTCAAAGCCACCGCCTTGCCTCTACACATGGGGCTAGACTGACGTGATAACTTATTACCACAAGTTCATACTCAACAGGTTTTACACAAATACGTTCATGGTGTTTGGTGTATATGGTGAGATGCTGGCATACTTATTTCATCCAGTTATTTGAAGGAATGGAGCAACTGCAAAACCAAAACCCCCATAGCGCATACTGACTACAAGCGATGTGACAGTACATTTGAAATACTGATACAAAGGCCTGGACCCAGGGATGAGCCAAACGAAAGGTTTACATTGTACCTGTTCTGTTTCTCTTCTTCATACCACAGGTATTTTAATTATGAACATCTCTGGTTCCAAATACTTCAAACTTTTACCCGCTGTTCCTTAAGTGGTTGTCCACCAGTGCATCAGAATCATTTGGGGTATTTATTAAAACGCATTCCTGGTGTCATGCCAACTGGTGAAGAGCCAGGGGTTTTCGTTTTATCAGTCACTCACCGACTGATTATTCCAATATAAGAGGTCTGCAGACCACACTGGCCCAGGAACTCTAAGAGAAACCCTCATATATACTTCAGTTAGCTGTTCATTACCAAGTAAGCCTGCCACTGTCTTTACATGTTGCTCCTCAAGCTCTCCCAGTTTAATGGGCTGTTAATCCCTATGATTAGGTCTGGTACTTTTGGAAAACAGAAAAGAGCTCTGTTCTAAAGGTTGGCTAAATTCAGATTGGGGGTCTTTCCCTAGTAGGCTTCTATTCAATATGGGACTATTAAGTAAGTTGTGTGCCCTTCCCGGCAGTATCAAAATTAAACTAAAGAGGAACAGCCAAGGCACTCTTGATGGGTATAGAACTCAGGCTCAAAAACTTTTACTGGGCGGGGAAAACAGATGTATCCTGCTTCCTAGGATTGGTCCACCGGATGGCTGCAAATAAACTGGAGAATGTCTATAAAGTTCTTTCTAGGTATAAAGAACTTGAAAGACAGGTCTCCATTCAAGCAGCTTATAATCTAGTTCTGAAAATAAGTAATTATGGAAAGAAAGAATACTTAAGGAAAAATATCTCCTCCTAGTAGCCTAAGTTGATCTTACCAAGTTCAGAGGAGGGGCTCAGGGAAGACTTCATAGACGAGCCACAAGTCTTGAAGGACTGGAAGGATTTCAGTAGCAAGGAAGAGGGACTGTAGGCAGGGGAAAGGCCTAAGCAAAATGCAGAAAGTAGCTGGGAAGAATAAACAACTAGATTTTATGGAGGGGAGCATGGGAGGGTAGACAAGGGCTGTCTCAGGGAGACCCATAGCTGCAACCTACAGCTGCAACGTGGTTAAAGGGAGGCCAAGGTGTTTGGGGAAGATTCAGACGAAAGTCGTGTTTCCTAAAGACCGATATGGCCACAGTGGTGACTGGGAAAGAGTCTAATGGATAGGACTGGTGAGATATTTTAGTAGTTTCAAAAGGCGGAAACTGGGGCCTGGATTAGTGCTACGCCTGGGCACTATAAGGAAATTAAAGAGACAATGCAGAAGGAAGAGTGCTCAAAAACTGGTTGAATTTGAAAGATGAATATGAGAAATTAAAAAGATGAGCCAGAAGAGATTTGGGAATCACAAAGATTTTTAGACTAAAAGGCATAGAGCTGAAACTTTTTTTTTTTTACCTTCACCAGAAATTTCTCTCCAGGGATTTGGTGGATACATAAATGCAGCATTTTGGATTTGGTCATTTATATCTTCATCTTCATTGAAAGGAAATGTACCACTGAGGCTCACATAGACGATAACTCCCACTGACCACATATCTAGAGAACGGTTGTAACCTTTGCTCCTGAGAACTTCAGGGGCTAAGTATGCTGGAGTTCCTACCACAGATCTCCTGAATGACTTTTCACCAATGATGCGTGCAAAACCAAAGTCACACAGCTTCACCTGGAAATAAAAAGGTGATGTTAATTTTGCATTTTCATCCATCAATCAATCTATACACACCTGTCCCTAAGTACGATACTGAATCATTTCAACACACCTGCCAACTGTACTGATTATGAATGTCAAATGAATGCAGAGAGGGAAATTGTAAAATACCCTTTTCCCAAAAGAGAGAGACATTTTACTGTGATGTATTACTGACATAGTATGAAGAAGTTTTTCCTAGTGCTTATTTCAAAAACCACTTTTTAAGTTCTAGCTTCCAGAATGCCAAAAACCAGACTGGTGTGTAAGTGGTCAAAGTTTTTTTTGATGAAATGGGAGGGTGCTGATTTTTTAGCATTTGGCTTTTAAGGAGCTACTTTTCTATCATCTGTGAGCAGAAATCATGTGTCTCATTTTTGAATCCTCAGTGACCTTGTAGTGCCTGGACACATAAAGGTACTCAATAAATGCTGAATGAAAAGTAAGTTAGTATTTAAAAACTGACCCTTTATTTTGCTTAATCCTAGAATCTGTATTCCCAAGTATTACTATCAGTTGGCAAATAACTTAAATTGAGGTGTAGTAAAGAGAATTATTAATGTAGCCCATAAAAGAGCAATGCTAGAGATTGCTTGAAAGAACAAGAGCAAAAGTGTTTTCTAGGACTGAAACATGATGGCTAGTCAGATTTTGGATCTGAAAAAAGTTCTATCTGAAGGTAACCACAGTCACTACAATATCCTTTTGGGAAGTAATGACACATCCATGCTGAACAAGCAAATGCCAAGTACTTTCCAGAGGAAATGCCCTGACCCACAAAATGTCTTCACAAAAAGCATTATGATAAACTGAGAAAAAAGGGATTTGGCCTCTACAACCAATGGTGTAAACAGTGCCTGGAAAGCAGAGATGAAGGTGTATTCAAATGCTTGCTCTTACTAGGACATGGACCCTGGTGCATGTTTTTATGATAATTATTCTGTGTCATTACTGAATGTGGCTCCCTCTGATTGAGTCCTGGAACAACAGGATTATTGACCATGAAGACCTGTGAACTGTCTTTTTTGTTGTTGTTAAATGCCACATTTCCGGTAACATCTTGATAAAGAAAAGATGCCGTGGCAGTTTGGCAACGGAATAAGGACGTGTGGCCATGGCTAGCACTTGAGCAACAAGGAATGTCAAGTCAATGATGTTATTTTCCCCTTGTTCATAACAGAAGTCAGAAGGATGGGAGTTTCAGCCTCACTGTGGGGTGTGCATCCATTGCCCAGACTATCCTGAAGATCAAATGAGATGATAATGTATGGAAACACTTTATTTAAACCAACTGTTAGGGAACCCTTTTTGACCTCACATTGTTAGAGAATCCCTTTTAACTACACAGACATTATAAAAGAACAGGATTACTTCCTTATAAGAGTTGAATAACTTTTAAAAATAATCTTTTTCTTTGAAAGACAATTTGAGTTGTATTTAACTCAAGTGAAATAACTGTCCTTAGTTTAGCCATCTAATTGTGCAGTTTTCAAATGTATATAAATAATAGTTCGTCCACAGATATTCTAGCTGATTGGAGAATTCACCAATGACAAGCATGAAAAATATTTATGGGTACTGCCAACATATATTCCTCAGGAAGACTGTTTCAAACTTCGGGTTTATGAGGCGTTTTTTTAGGTTATGAAATAATTTTGGACCAAGATCAATACCCTTTATGAAATGAAATTTAACCAAGTAAAAAAATCAGTGCAGTCCACACAGGACACGGACACATACACACACACACACACACACACACACACAGGGGATATACATGTGTGAGTGATGGCAGTAATGGGAAATGTAATTCTTACATAGGTTTTGGTGAAAATGTTTGAAATAAAGTACTCTAAAGAGGAAGAGGAGTTGGCTGCCAGGCTCAAAGTCTAGTGTGTCCCCCATTCAAGGTTTACCCGTTTTATTTTATGGGGAATTTGTCCTGAGCACCAGGCACCAGCCAAGATTGATTCTCCTTGCATCATTCCCAAACCACAGGGAAAGTGAACTGCAGTCTACGTGCAAAAAGTTATTCCTTGAGGTCTGGTTAAGTCTAAAAAGTCTTAATGAAAATAAACAATATAATAAGATCTGAGTTCAAATTATTTCAAGTATTAATCCTCACTGGCAGGTACAGGCTAATTACTTCTGTTAAGGTGGTTATATATCTAAACCTAAAGCACTCCCTTTCATTACATGGGTGCTCTGTAATATTGTCAGATGGTTCTAGAGAGTATTTCACCTGAGGAAATGGCTCTGCGGATGCGAGCAGCACATTTTCTGGCTTTAAATCACAGTGCACAATATTCTTAAAATGTAGATTTCTCAAGGCAACAAGGATCTGTTATTGAAGAAAACAGAATTTTTTCAGTGCCTGGAAAAAAATCACAGCTAAAC